AAGCAACATGAGAAAACTTGGAATATTTTTATATTTATTTTTAATAATATATTAGAATTTTATTTCTCTGACTGTTTATTATTTATTTTATTGTATTAATTTTTTTATTTAATTTATTTAATTTAATTAATTTTTTTAAATACCGGATTCAGATGTGTCAGTCTGCATTCGGCGGTCAGATATTTCCTATCATTCATAGTGTGAATGCTGTAGTTCCATATTTCCATCCACATATTTTTATGCAAATTTGGGGACAGCGCATAAAAAAATGCTGGATGGAAAAACCAAGATGTACATAAAATCTTAAAATGTGCATAAAAAACATATGCACCCAATTAAGGCAGATATTTATTTACACATAAACTACGATGGAAACAAACTTACTGAAAAAATTCCTTGATGCACAACAAAAAAATTCATGTGAATATGCCTCTAGAGATTATGTGATTGGGTAGTTGATTAAACAAAAAAAAAGATATGTTTGGATGGACCGTGAAGTCTAAACATTTTTAAACATAATTTTTGGAAAATAATTGACTTTAAAAAAAGTGTGTGTGAGAGGAGAAGGTATAGTAAATATAATAATTTATAGTCATTTATTATCTAGAAATAAAGAGCAGAAAAAAGAGCCGAGAGAAACGGTGCTTCAGAAAAAGTTTCCTGCAATATTCACATTTTTAACATAAGTTAATTTAGCAGCTTTGGATTGAAAGAGCTACCTGTGCAGCTACAGCTACCTAAACGACCTTTTTAGTATTATATTTTACTGTAATATTGTTGCAGTGTTTGTCTTGTTGCTAGGCTGATTGTTTCGTACATTGTAGTGGACTATTTTTTTTTAGTGAAGGTTAAGATTATAAAACAATCTCAACTCAAATATATAATTTTCACATACTCTTTATTAGGTGAGTAGCCATTTGATATTTTATTATCATAAGTTTTATACGTAATAACTTGGCGCTTGGCTACCACATCATAAACTGCCAACACATACGCATCCTAAACGTATGACATTTCAATCTCAAGAAGTCTAAATGTTGCGCTAGATGATAAAATAGCAGCAATAGCATTCATATGCAGACATTTACTGGTTTTGCCTGTAAAAGTAAGGCAATCAACAAGAGCTCTGACTGCAATGATTTCGTATCCAGAGTGCTTTATTGTGTTAGTAGACAGGCAATCATTCTCCAATAACGTGTTTCCAGCACTGCCTTATTACGTTCTTAATAGTACATTAGTTTCTTTATAATGCTGACACTCAATAGCTATTTGGTACTGTGACGAGTGGGGGTGGGGCCGAGAGCCGTGGGAACGGAGCGAGGCCGGTGGAGTAATTGATAATGAGCGACACCTGCACCACTCACCGATCTCGAGTCCCACGGAGGAGCTCCGGAAGGATACTCACCGGTCGCGAGTCCCACGGAGGAGCTCCGGAAGGATAAAAGGAGGAGTGACGACAGTGAAAGACGAGAGAGGACCAGGTCTGGACTTTATTTTGTGTTTGTTTATTTTATTAAAGTTTTGTTTAAGTGTTCGCTGGTTTCCGCCTCCTTCTTCCCGAACTACGAACTTTGTTACAGGTACCCTTTCATCTGGACAAAAAACTAAAAAGATTGGATTTGTAGAATGTTGATTTATCGAGTCTACAATATAAACACGCTACTCTGAATTTGAAGGACTCTTAAAATCAAGGGAAGTGAAACAATAGAGAAACTCTGTGTTTTGCTTCACCCTCCTAAATACAGGTCTGATGCTTCAAATCCTGGCGTCAGGACTTCAATGAGTCTGTTTGGGTCCTTTAGACATGCGGGTCTAATCCAGCGCCCAATGGTGAATTTCCATCTGGGCCGGCATATTTTATTCAAGAGCTTGACTTACAAAGTTACCAGCCATGTTGTCCTGGGCTTTTACACAGTCGCTCCACGCCACCGAGAGACAAAGAGCCCACTCTGAAAACGATCTCTATGTAATAGCTTGTGAAGTGACCTCTTGGCTTCTGCAGCGGAGCGTTTGTTAGAGGTGTGCGTTTAGCTGCGGACGGCTGATGCATTTTAAATGCTTTTCCTCAGAACCTCTGAACTACACAATAGGGTTACATCATCCTCAGTGGAAAGCCAATTGGTGGAACGCAGTATGATTTTTGATATTTTAATTAGCAGCTGTAGCTCTGTTACATCATATTTGCCATCGCAGTTTCATTTCCAGACACTGGCGGTTGCCAGGACTGAAAGATTTCCACAGAGAGCTCGAGGCGATTGTTCGCGTTCGAAAACGAATGCGTGCCGCAATTGTTCCGAAGGCTTTCTTTTGAAGCCTCTGCACCAAAAATCACTCTCTGAAACATTCTCGTACACTTCCACTGACGACTTTGCGGTAGCAAAGAGAGCAGAAACCTGTAATGGTAACCATGGAAACAGTCCAGTCAGCCAACAGTGTATGTAGCCTTCTGGTGTGCATGGTGTACATACTGAGTGAGGCTCTCTGACTCACACTCCCGACAAAATCACAAGCAGCTTTCCAAACGAATCCACACCGCACACACACTGCAGCTGACACATCTGACCTCATCAGTCATTTAAACACCATGGTTTACTGTACTCTAGGATTTAATGATATAACATTGCTTTAAATGTATTTAACTATATGATACATTTTGAAAGGTTTAAAATAGTATTCATTCACTTTGATTCCACACACACACATTTATCATATCAATCATTGCACGATACTGTATGATTTAATGATTCATTATTTAAATTTAAGGATTTAACAATAAATATATTACAGAAAATATTATAATGTTTATATATGTATGTACATACATACAGATTTATTAGATATTATTTATATTATATTATAATTTATATATATATTACAGAAAATATTATGACATGTTGAATATGTATGTACACATTTTATTACCGATATTATTTATATAATGATTGGTTCTGGAGTAATGATGCTGAAAATTCAGCTTTGCATCACAGGAATAAATTAGGTTTTTATGTATATTAAAATAGAAAAACGTTATTTTACATCGTAATAATATTTCACAATATTACATTTTTTCCTGTATTTTTGATCACAGCCTTGATGAGCATAAGAAACGTCTTTAAAAAGATTAATAATCTTTCTGATATAATTATTAATTATAGACATAATTATACATATAAATGTATTCATATGTACAGTATGTATAGATAGGTAAAAAGATAACGGTTTAATGTTCAAAAAAATTTATGTATATATAATTTTATTATGTAAATATAAGTAATGTAACTGTTTATTAACTTATTTTAATTATAAAAATTATTGCTTTATTAAATTATTTATTCGCTTCATTTTGAAAACTTTTTTCTGGTGGTTAGACACTGATTAGCACTGCTCAGCACTATATGGCGACAGACAAACATGGATAAAGAAATTAGTTCCATCAGCATAAAAACAAATGTGAAAGTTTGTTTCAGCTTCTGAACAATCTACGTCAGCAGCTCAAACATTCCAAATACTCGACTAATTACAGCAACCCGTCCACAGAACCCTTCCACAGCTTCCATTTCCAAACCCACCACAAAATTTCCCTATTCTGATCATGCCTCTGCAGGCATCCACTTTAACATGTGTGAGTCACATTGTGTCTTCGGTCGGGCCCGGAGCCCGGAGCCCCCCGCCGAAACCGAAGCAAAACATAGAAGAAAAATGCAAATTGCAGCAGGTGCCAGATTATTTGCATGTCTCTACCAAACACACATCAGGCTGTGCCACCACACAGCGCCAACTTCCCTTGTGCGTTACGTAACGCCTTCTGACGTGAGCTAACGTTATTACATCCTGTGGTCTTCCCTGGGATTTGTGACATTTTTTAAACGCATGATGTCACAATCTGAACTCACCGCTTCATAGCAGACCCTCAGACTGCTTTTTAGGAAAAGTCTCCAACTGGAGCGTGTGTCCTCGAATGCCCTTTTTAGGATGCCTTTTCATTTTGGCATAGTGCTGAATAGGTAACAGGCACTAGAGAACGATAACTCGTATAAGCCAAGCCTACTATACAGGGCTTAGTAGTAATATAATTTATATTATATGTATTGCTCCTCCACGTTGCCAGATCCTCTACTGTGGTTTCCCTAGTGGACACAATGGAGATTTCAGGAGGGTTGAATCTGTTTCCATGGCAGCCAGTGTTTCTAATGAAGGTTACTTCCAGACTGGCAGGAGAAGCTCTTGAAAACTCCCTCGTACAGTTTGCAGATCATATTTGCTCCGAAACGCCACGTGACTCCTCGGCGGACTGGACTTAAAACGGTGAGCTTTGACAATGCTCATCCCAAACCATGAATCATTTAAAGCTGGTGGCAGAGGCGGAAATGTCACGTCCCCTGGATTTGAGGCTCGCGCACAGATTTAACCGGGCTAAACGGAGCACTAGAGATGTGTCAGGAAGAGAAAAGAAAACGTTTGGAACGTTTCCCAAAATCTTTATTATTACAGATATTCTGTAGAAATGTTCTGTGAGATAAATACGTAAGACGTTCTTGAGGTCTTGAGGTTCGTCATGCACGACTAGAATACATCACAAGTAGTATGAAAGAGCCCTGTAAACATGACCACCGGATATTAATAAACCTGCGCACGTGAAGAAAGCACAGAAAGATACGTTCCTTGTCAGGTTAAATTTGGCACATCTACAGCTAATATGCTTTACGATAATAAGGTTACTGTCCTTACACTCTTAAAAATAAAGGTGCTTCACGATGCCATAGAAGAACCTTTTTGTCTAAATGGTTCCATAAAGAACCGTTAACATCTGAAGAACCTTTCTCTTTCATGAAAGGTTCTTTGTGGAGAAAGAAGGTTCTTCAGATTATAAAAAGGTAAGAAAGAGATGGTTCTTTAAAGAACCTTTGACTGCATGGTTCTTTGTGGAACCAAAAATGGTTCTTCTATGGCATCGCTGTGAAGAACCTTTTAAAGCACCTTTATTTTTAAGAGTGTAAACTGACATTCCAGATCGAACCGAACATCAAATGAATGAAATGAAACGAAGCAGATCACAGTTAAGCTACATACAAAACATTTATCCAGAGCAAAAGTCACTTCTCGTCATCGTTCCATTATATAAAATGGTTGCTCAACCTTCAACACTGCAAAATATGTATCCAAAAATTTAATAAATAGCTAGTAGTGGGACCTCTTTGGAGGTCCACTTTTGGAAGAAAAGGTCGACATTGCTAGCATACCATTAACACCACCAGTAGGCTACTGGGTTAAGTACTGGTTTGATGTTAATGGTACTGTTTGCACAGTCTATCGAATTGCTTCATTAGAACCCCAAAAAAAGAAGAATCCGGTCTCTAATGAGACCGAACCCTGTCATTGCACATATCTCGGAGTATAGTTTGGAAAACACAGTATTCCTTCAAGCCCCTGGGCCGCTCTTCCGGACCGCCGGTTCACGCTGTAAACCCTGGACAATGGAGAGTTTGGGGGATCGAGAGGAGAATGCGTGGAGTGCTTGTCGCCAGATGAGAGAGAGTGCCTCTTCACAACGTCTTTGGATAGAGGTCAAGAGTCTTTGGGTCTGTTCACGCCGACGAGGACTTCTCTGTGCTCTTGTCCAGTGCTTCGCCATCGTTGTCTTCCTCGATGACTGTCAGTGAACAGAGACACAAGGGTTACGATGAGAAACCAACTCACAGATATCCTCTATTGTCTACGCACTGGCACAAAGATGGAGATTCCATGTTGCCATGAATTTTAATACATCAGAAATGGCGCAATACATCACTGTCGAAGCAGAAAGCAGACAGTTTATAAGCTCAAACCGATCGTATCGTATTCGACGCGCACATGTTCGCGCGTAAAGGCATATAATCGAACATGGAATTTCGCATCATTACAAACGATTCCTTTTGCTCGTGTGATAAACAAAGGCTTTGCCCGTTACCTCTTTTGCTTCGCCCGATCTGCCCCAGCTTTGGTGGTCGTTTATTCTGGTTGCCACTGAAAAAGTTGTCGGTGTCTTGGAGGCGGCAGGTGAAGGAAAGGTGTTCCTCGTCCCCGTCGTTGCCATAATGAGTCATTTTGTCCTCGTTATACGGTAATACATCCGACATGCTGTATGAACCGACCGCGGCTACTGTATCTGCTGTTGAATCGATAGCGCGAGGTGAATTTTGCGGAGCGAATCTGTTTTTGCCTATGCATGTTCATTCATGTCTTTTTATATTTTTAAAGAAATTGAGTCTCGATGTCCTCTACCAAGGACGTAGATTTTTTAAAATGCTCTAAACAATGTAATGACATCAAAAAATACACATTTTTTCCTAAAATGTTTTGCTGGGTCTTAAGAGGTTAAGTACAGCACATTTTGGATGTGTCTCTTATGTAATACACCTGCGTCACCTCGATTGCTCATTTGTAGAGGATCCAAGACCTGAGCTGGGTAGACAGACATATGTGAATTTTACAAATAAATGAACTATGTATGCAACACATTTCATCACCTGTGGTCATACATATATCACTGTAGTGAAACTGAGGGTTTATCAGGAGTCAGAAAACCAGCAAATCAGAGACAGGCCAGTGTTTTTACACTTTAAGAAAACAGTTAAAGGGTTAAGGCACACGATTGTGTAAATTAAATAAGCACTGACTCAGTTTAATAACAGAAAACGAAGCGTTTGAGAGAGGCGGGGCATAGAGGACCTACAATAATGTACAGTATTTGAAAAATAATGTGTTTTTTGAACATTAAAGCATGTCAACATATTCTGTTACACCAAATACACAAAATAATGATCTTTAAAATAGCATCATATGACCCCTTTAAGAAAACAGTTAAAGGGTTAAGGCACACGATTGTGTAAATTACATAAGCACTGACTCAGTTTAATAACATTGAGAGCCATCTACATTTTGTAAGACCTCATATTTTAGATGTAGCAAGAGCCCATGTGTTATTTTATTCAGTAATTTTATCCTTATTGCATGCTTTTTCAGTTAAAACCCGACCAAACAGAATAAGATATTAAAACATGCCTGTAAATCACAAGAGAAGGCAATATGGGATGTTTTCCCCCCTCTGTGTATAGGTTTTCATTTTGTAATATCAGAAGCTGTAGTGATGCTGAACTCATACTGGCACAATCTGGATATATGAGCTGAGGGGGTTTGCTTCTCTGCCCAAGATTTTGAGAGCATAATCTTCTGCACCAGGCGCAGTTATAACCTTTCCAGGATTGAGCAGCAGACATTGTCACTCCGCTGCAGAAACGAGCGGGATGAAAGCGAGATGCACTGCTTCCTCCCATCTGCGAATGAGAGGACATTTTGTTCCGCTCTATCTGATCTGAATAGCTGAAATGGGAAACGCACAGAGCCGGTTGAGCCTCGTCTCGGTTTGCTAGAAACCAGCCTGTTTCCTCTGAGAGAGGTCATTTGAATGCTTAGGCTTCAGACAGTTTAATATTGGGAAGAATGATGAAGATGAGCTGAGTGTAGAGTTGCCAGAATAGGAAAATATGGGACAATTGTGATTCTTTACAGAAAAGTAAGGGACGCTCAAAATATTCATACTGTACCGCATATGTAATTTCTGTGTGTCTGCAGTTAAAGGGTTAGTTCACCCAAAAATGAAAACCCCCCCATATTATTACACGGCCATATTTGGTGTGCCTGGTCAACAGTACTTTTAAAAGTAATGCATTACAATATTGCATTATTTCCCAAAAAAGTAGTGTTACTTAGTTACTTTTTATGGTAAGTAATGTATTCCATTATGTTGGCGCTACTTTTTCTCATCTAGACTGGGCTTGCTTGTTTGATTTTATATTAAAAAATGTCTATTTTTGGCAAATGTAAAAGTCCTTTTACACCAAAAGTGTAATGAATTAGCCTCAGATTTAGTCTAGAACTACAATAACGCCTATGCACTTATGATTTTTCTCAACTTTGGGACAGGAGAGCTGTCAGTCAATACATGGGAAAACAAAATAACTTATTTAATTACCATTACTTATTTAAAAAGATAACTCAGATATTTTCATGTAAAAGTAATGTGTTGCGTAGTTAGTTGAAAAAAAAGTAATCTGATTATGCAAAAGTAATCTGATTATGTTACAAGTAATGCGTTACCCCCAACACTACTGGTCAAATATGGCAGGCCTACAAAAAAGTCAGGAACAAAGAATAGAAGGTTAAAGGTTTAGCATTTAGCATTGTTTCTCCCTGTTGACCCCTTTTAGAACAAAAGTGTGACCCATTTCCACCAGTTGTAAACTTCACTAACCACATGCAGATCTTAAATAACTAAATTACAAACAAACATACAAAATATTTAATGGTACAGATCATAAAATGAATCTTGGTCAGCTTTAAAAAAAAATAAAAAACCTCAATGGAGACTCAAATGTTCGTTTTTTTTTTTTCTTTTATGAATTTCACATATAAACAGCAAAATTCAAGTCAGTAAATTATGAATGTGTTCATCTGTATTAATCTGTGAAGACGAGTAAAATGAAGAAAGTGGAATTTCAATACAGTTATATCCTACCTAAATGTCACAAAATATAATTAAATGTCAACTGATGCATAAAAATTTGTAATAGACCTAAAAATAAAAAGGCCAATTCATTTGGCTATTTTAGATTATTGGCTTTGGTTGATAGCTGGCTGATTAACCGAAATGTCAGTTCTAAAGTTTGGCAGATACACATGGTTGAACCCCTGATGTCACATGTATTATTTTACAGATCTCCTTGCTACGTTTCTGGACTTGGGAACATTTCAATTGTATTGCTGTCTATGCAGGGTCAGACAGCTCTAAGATTCCATCAAAAATATCATAAAATAATATTAATTTGTGTTCCGAAGATGAACGGAGGTCTTACGGGTTTGAAACGACATGAGGGTGAGTAATTAATGACAGAATTTTCATCTTTGGGTGAACTATCCCTTTAAGTATGTGGTTTTCAAAAATAATTTATGTATTATGTATCTGTATTATGTATCTATTTATGCACAATTATTCTAAAAAAAAGTTTCATGTCATACACATTACTCAAACCATTGGCCTGAGTAAATTGTACCACTATAGAATTGTGACTGGATTTGTTTTGTTTCTGAAAATGTTATCGTATTGGACTAAAGTTTACTGACTTTACTCATACAGCGTATAACAATTTCTCCAAAAATGGGATAATTTTGTACTTTTGAGGGATTTTTCCCCCCCATATTATTACACGGCCATATTTGGTGTGCCTGGTCAACAGTACTTTTAAAAGTAATGCATTACAATATTGCATTATTTCCCAAAAAAGTAGTGTTACTTAGTTACTTTTTATGGTAAGTAATGTATTCCATTATGTTGGCGCTACTTTTTCTCATCTAGACTGGGCTTGCTTGTTTGATTTTATATTAAAAAATGTCTATTTTTGGCAAATGTAAAAGTCCTTTTACACCAAAAGTGTAATGAATTAGCCTCAGATTTAGTCTAGAACTACAATAACGCCTATGCACTTATGATTTTTCTCAACTTTGGGACAGGAGAGCTGTCAGTCAATACATGGGAAAACAAAACAACTTATTTAATTACCACTACTTATTTAAAAAGATAACTCAGATATTTTCATGTAAAAGTAATGTGTTGCGTAGTTAGTTGAAAAAAAAGTAATCTGATTATGCAAAAGTAATCTGATTATGTTACAAGTAATGCGTTACCCCCAACACTACTGGTCAAATATGGCAGGCCTACAAAACAGTCAGGAACAAAGAATAGAAGGTTAAAGGTTTAGCATTTAGCATTGTTTCTCCCTGTTGACCCCTTTTAGAACAAAAGTGTGACCCATTTCCACCAGTTGTAAACTTCACTAACCACATGCAGATCTTAAATAACTAAATTACAAACAAACATACAAAATATTTAATGGTACAGATCATAAAATGAATCTTGGTCAGCTTATTTACAACAAGTTCTACTTGTCCTGGCACGTGAAATTAGCTTTGTTCTTTAGTATTTACTTATTTTTGTGTGGCATATTTATTCACAATGGCTTTCCCTGTGGGGAACATGCTGTTCTGCGATTTATTTCCCATGAAACTCTATTCAGAGATCCATCAGATTACTCCGTTTCAGCCAAACATGTTAGCAGCCCTCCTCAAAAACGTCATTATTCCCATATGACCTGTATTGTTGGTTAGTTTAACCTATACGCTTAATGTTACCTATTGTTTTTAATTATGTAAGTAATGAATGATGCCCCAGATACATAAAAGTTATTATAATCAAACTGAACTTTTGGTATGCATTTATATGATACACGCATAAACTGCTGCGAATCATTGAGTGTAGTTCGTGCGGCGATCGTCTTACACGTGGTGTCATGTGCAGGCAGTGAAACCAAAAGCTCCTGGAACTGATGCCACCTTCAGAGAAGAGTAATTGCAGACACACCCAGTCCTATTAGATGCGCAAACATCCATTGTTGCAAGAACGGTACAACGTCAAATCTTTTTATGGCTTCCCAGTCACAGCAATTGAACTAAACAAAGGCAACTTTTCTGCATTTAATATCCTTTGGTGAAACCGTTTGGGGTAATTCCCTTGTAAATAAGCAATTTAAATGCATGACATCTAGCTGCTAACTGATATTAAAACGTAGTCTTCACAGCATCACTGTCAGACATTTTTGTTCATTTATCATGTACAGTGGGTACGGAAAGTATTCAGACCCCCAATGATTTTAGCAAATGGCTGCAATATAACAAAGAGTGAAAAATTTAAGGGGGTCTGAATACTTTCCGTACCCACTGTATATTAATCACATTACTTAAGAGTTTGTAAGTATATTGTAGTTTTAAGAGGCCTTCACATTAGTAATATGCATTGCTAAGGACTTCATTTGGACAACTTTAAAGGCCATTTTGATTTTTTTTCACCCTCAGATTCCAGATTTTCAAATTGTTGTATCTCGGCCAAATATTGTCCTATCCTAACAAACCATACATCAATGGAAAGCTTATTTATTCAGCTCTCATATGATGTATAGATCTCAATTTCGAAAAATTGACCGGTTATGACTGGTTTTGTGGTCCAAGGTCACATTTTATTTAAAATGCTTTCATTTATGGCTGTTTGAAGTTTTCCATTTTAGATGTTTTAGAATTATGTTTTCTATTTTA